CCAGCGTGGAGGGCGCTATATAAATCCAAGTTGTTGTTATATATAAAATACATATTGATAAGGTGGTACAATCTAGTCTGCACACACATCTATGCTGCTGCATGATCAGTATCCAAGATGAAACCATTAGGGAACGTGTATGACATTATGGCCTATTAGAAAGAGCAAGCTCAAACAGTTTTTCAGCCATACTTGTCGTCTCTCCCCCTCCTTGGCCCTACCAAAACTCCATTCCAGCAAACCCATGTTTTCGGAGTGTAAGTCATGACTGCTTTTCAAACTCAGGTATTCCAGTTAAGAGACCAGCAGTGTCGTGTTGTAGCTGCTGGGTTGGCAACTGCCTGGACTGTGCTAATTAAGCTTGCTGCTCCCTCTCCTAACCCTAATCAATTGAATGATGTTCTTGATGCAAACAAATCTGGAAAGCCAGCGGCGCACTGGAGCGAGGCTCCACAGACCAGTGTATGCTTGTTTATTAGCTGCAAACAGTATTGATTCAGAAAGAACTGGCCTTTCTATCTCTGGTTACCAAGGTTACTGGATACTGTCCTGGTTACATAATCACACAACATAGAGAAGATAAGAGGAAACAAATTATCTGCTGCCTGACACATTAAAGAGAGAAAGGAAAATCATACAGTAGTGCATCTCTCAACAGGACTCACAGGAACAATCGTCATTATTAAAAATATTAAAAATATATTCTGATTGCTTAAGAAATTGAAAATAAGATTCTTTTAATTATTATGCTACCAATATAACACATGATCGGTTCTCAACCGGTCACTGATACACGATTTCAGCAAAGAAAAATGCATTTGTAGACAACTGAAATTCTTAGCTCAAATCTCCATTCACACTCAAAAAGCAAGCACGCACACTTGTTAGTCAACTGTAGATAGCTCTGTGCCAAGCTTTCAAGATTTTCTTTCCTTCTCGTATTTCAAAACAGTAATGTGTTTAAATATTTAAATACCAAACTAAAGTGATGCAATGCAGCATGATGCCACTGCATGGTTTATCGTTCCTTCAGCAACTTTTTGAAATTGAATTAAAAGAAGTTTTCAGTAAAGCACAATACATTAAGCCATTGATACAAATCTTTGCATTTGATAGGGACAGGAGAGGAAGCAAGCAGATTCCTGACATCACTGCAGCTCTTGACACTGCCTCCTGCAGTGCTTCACTGATCAACTGGCAGCAGGTGTATGAGATTGTGGTAGAATAAACATACTGCCTGCTGTCCTTCCGCACAAGTGGCAATTCAATTGAGCTAATCAGAGATGCATGCTTACACTGGTGGGATTGGCATCTGATATCAATCAAATGGGTTCAAGTAATAATATAATCCTTGCATTTGAAATCACTCCTTATCACATTGTTGAAATGTCTCAAAGAACTTCAACAGGATTTTACTGTAAAGTGTAGTGACTCTTTGACCGTGCCTTCGGCCATGGACTCTTTGACGCGGCCTCACTCCCACTACTCTCCAATGTTCTTGATTCCAAGCCCCAGCTCAGGTACAATGCCTTAACTGTCCAGCGCCTTGGGACATCCTTCCGATGTGAAAGGCACCATATAAATGTAATTTGTTGTTGTTGTGACTGTATTTCTGCACAGTGGGGTGGCGTGAGTTGTGCAATGATTTAAAACGAATTTATAACAACAACTTGCTCTTATATTCAAGATCCTCATCCTCACCTACAAGGCCATTCACGGCCTTGCTCCCTCCTACCTCTCTGACCTACTATCCCCCTACCTACCTGCCCGTACTCTCCGTTCCTCTGGCTCCGGTCTGCTCCACATCCCCCGCCCCAACCGCCCTACCATCGGTGGCCGGGCCTTCAGCCTCTCAGCCCCGAGGCTCTGGAACTCCATCCCCCAGTGCCTTCGCCGCTTCCTCCCTTTCCTCTTTCAAGGCCGGTCTCAAGTCCTTTCTCTTTGACCGTGCCTTCAGCTCCCCTCTCGACTCTCTACCCCCTCCTCGCTCCCTCCCTTCCCTCCCCTCACCCTGACCGTTTCCCCCCCCTGCTCGGGTCCCGACCCAACTGTTCAGCGCCTTGGGACGTCCTCCCGACCTGAAAGGCGCTCTATAAATGGAATGTTGTTGTTATATAACTCCCGCCACGCAGGGTAACCCCTCAGAGCGTTTAACAAGATGTGAAGACAGATACTTGAGTAACACAACAGAAGGATAGTGATATATATTAAAAGAAAACACAAAATACTGCAGATGCTGTAAATCTGAAACAAAAACAGAAGTCACTGGGAACACTCAGCAGGTCAGGCAGCATCTATGGAGAAAGGAAAGTGGATCAATATTTCGGGTCCACCACCCTTCATCAGAACTGGGGCATGATGGAAGGGAGAGGCTTTCAAGGACTAACAGAGTGGGGGTGGGGGCTGCAGGAGAAAATGGGGTAGAGGACAGGGGATAATGGGTTAAAGAGGTGTTAATGGTGCAAAATAAAGGATGGGGGGTGGCAACAAAACAGGGGAAAAGAGGTGTTAATAATGAAAAACAAAGGGAGGGAATTGCAACAAAACTGGCAGACCAGAGAGAAAAGGTGTGTCTGGGACCCAGATGATGTGGTAATGGTCACAGAAGAGGGAGAGGGGGAAGGTGAGCTGCTATGGTCTGTTATTGAAATATGTATCCTTTAATACATGTTAAAACATATTACTGCATAATACATATTAAATACATATTAAAAGATTCTGGGAATGGTGCCCTGGTATAAAAGGCTCTACGTCACAGGGAATCAGAGGCAAGACCACAATATTTATTGATGAAGTTTTGAAAAAAAATTCAATTTAAATCAAAATTCCAATTTGGAGAAGGTTCATAAAATTAAAAGGAACTTTCAAAAATTTGGGAGGTTTTTAACCTTTTTGTGAAGTAGTACAAGAAATAGATTAAGGAACATGGCCAATTTATTTTTTATTTAACATTTGTGTCAACTCAATTTCTCAATTTCATAGTCATTTTTTGATGTAGGGAGTTGAAACTCGATTTAAGTAAAAAAAATAAAGTTTTATATTGAGATTTCCTTAGACTCTACAGTGCCAATGTTGGGTGGGGGTAGATATTCCTGAGACCTCTCACAGTGCTTCACAGGATATCCTGTAAAGTGGATTGATTGTAAATTGTGGGAAAAACTCGGCAGACAGTTGTGCACAGCAATGTCCCACAAATAGCCATGGAGTGAGTGACCAATTTTTAATTTCTATAGCATGAGAAATCTGCTTGAAGGTGGAACAAAATAATCGTGCAGCGTTTTTGAGTACAGTATGGTGGAGCGGGCGAGGTGGGGGGTGTGAATCAGGCCGCTGAGCGGAGGGAGCCAGCAGGTGGGTAGGGAGTGAGGAGGTTGCAGAGGTAGGGGGGAGCAAGACCATGGAGGACTTTAAAAGTGAGGACCAGGATCTTGAACTGTATCCTCTGTGTGATGGGAAACCAGTGGAGTCGGGCGAGGATGGGGGTGATAGGGTCACGGAGCCTGGTACGGAGAGGATACAGACTGCAGAGTTCTGGATGATCTGCAGCCTATGGAGGGAGGAGTTGGGGAGGCCGACAAGCAGGGAGTTTGCACAGTAAAGCCTGGATGTTATGAATGTGCATTTGAGGGTCTTGGCGACCTGTGGTGTGGGACAGCAGCGGAGCCGGGCCATGTTGTGGAGTTGGGGGAGGACAGAGGGGGTCATGGCACGGGATGTGGGGTAGAAAGGACAGTTGAGGGTATGCATTTGGTATAGCACCTTTCACATCAGGAGGAAGTTCCAAAGCACTTCACAAGACTGTAAAGTGTAGTGACTGTGTACTTGGAGGCAAATGCAGCAGCCTTTCTCAATCCTGAAGTAGAGTAGTGCACTGCTACCGATTTATTGTGCTCAGTGTCTGGACCTGTCCAGGAGAAGCTTCAGAGGAAACAGCTCATCTGAGCTGCAGTTCTCTCTCAAACCCGTTAGAATGTCAGTCCACGGCTAAACATCAGAAGTCCCGGCTTTCTCTTGTTGGATTAAAACGTGTGCTTCACAGTGTGTTTGTCCAGGAGGGTCCTCCATAGCACAGTCCTCATGATGCCCTTTGCTCTGTTTGACAGGTGGATTGGGTGCTGATGGCTGTCCACGTTGTTCGGGTTTGAAGAAAGAAACAGAAAACTCCTTTTGCTTCACTTGCAAAACATTCCCGAGATAACCGGACAGACACCATCACAGGGGCAGAACCCTCACCGGGACAAGGCAATGGCCACTCACTAACTATGTGCAGGTGGAACAGGGATTTAAAGGCACCGACTGCACCGCAGGAAAGGCAGCAGCACTCCGACAGGAATGTGCCATCGGCTTTGCGTAAAAGAGGGGAATGTCAGGCCATGTACTGAATTGAGGACCTATCAGTGGTCGCTGGACTCCTCTGCTCACCCCTTCTGGCACTGACTGCATTGGTACTTACCTGTGTGATCTCCAGCTGCTGCTTCACTCGGGGTTACGGTCCCCGCAGCGCACCTGAGCATCAATCACCCCTCAGCCATCACTGCCGCCTCCAGGAGGTCCCCCACCCCGTGCCCTGCCCTGCCAGCCTTGCCCTGCCCACAGCCCTGCCAGCCCTGCCCTGCCAGCCCTGCCCACAGCCCTCCCTGCCCTGCCCATCCCAGCCCTCCCTGCCCTGCCCATCCCAGCCCTCCCTTGCCCTGCCCTCCCTTGCCTATCCCTGCCCTCCCTGCCCTCCCTGCCCTCCCATCCCTCCTGCCCTCCCATCCCTGCCCTCCCTGCCCTGCCCATCCCAGCCCTCCCAGCCCTCCCTGCCCATCCCTCCCTGCCCATCCCTCCCTGCCCTGCCCTCCCTGCCCATCCCTGCCCTCCCTGCCCATCCCAGCCCTGCCCTCCCTGCCAGCTCTCCTGCCTCCCAGCCCCTCCCTGCCCTCCCAGCCCTGCCCTCCCTGCCCTGCCCTCCTGCCCCTCCCTGCCCTCCCTGCCCTCCCTGCCCACAGCCCAGCCTGAGAGTGGAAGAACATGGGATGTCGGCAGAGCTCGGAGGAGAAGGAGGCAGCGCGCCGCTCCCGGAGGATTGATCGCCACCTGCGGTCGGAGAGTCAGCGGCAGCGCCGGGAGATCAAACTCCTGCTGTTGGGGACCAGTAACTCGGGGAAGAGCACCATCGTCAAACAGATGAAGATCATCCACAGCGGAGGCTTCAACCTGGACGCGTGTAAGGAGTACAAACCCCTCATCATCTACAACGCCATCGACTCTCTGACCCGCATCATCCGCGCTCTGACCGCCCTCAAGATCGAGTTCCACAACCCGGACCGCGCGTACGATGCGGTGCAGCTGTTCGCGCTGACGGGACCCGCGGAGAGCAAAGGGGAGATCACCCCCGAGCTGCTGGGGGTCATGAAGCGGCTGTGGGGCGACCCCGGGGTCCAGCAGTGCTTCTGCCGCTCCAACGAGTACCACCTGGAGGACAACGCGGCTTATTACCTGAACGACCTGGACAGGATCGCGGCCGTTGACTACATCCCCACAGTGGAGGACATTCTGAGGTCCAGAGACATGACCACCGGCATCGTGGAGAACAAGTTTACCTTCAAGGAGCTGACGTTTAAAATGGTGGATGTGGGAGGGCAGAGGTCTGAGCGCAAGAAATGGATTCACTGTTTTGAAGGAGTTACTGCCATAATTTTCTGCGTGGAGCTCAGTGGCTATGACCTGAAACTGTACGAAGATAATCAGACAGTAAGTCCTATGGTTTTTTTTATATAATTCCTGGTTTATCGGCCAAACCTTTCATCCGGTAACCGTCGTCAGTCATTGAACCCCAACACTCTTTACGGCTGATCTCACAGCTGTTTATGTTGGGTGTCATGTGAATGAGTAACTCAGTGGGCACGAACCTACCTGACTGGAGCTGTCAGGAAACTGGTGATTGACAGCTCCACTGAGAGGAGAATGACTCCTGGCAAAGCCTTGCGTTACACTGCCCATCACCGAGCCTCCACAGCACCATTTCAAACAGTCTGCAGTTCAGTCCCTCAGTTGGTTTGCTTTGCCCTAATTGCCTCATTCAGTTCAGGCAACTGTCTGTGACAATTAATAGTTTCAGCTCCGAGGCAAGCGGTAAGGAATATTGTTCTTTTTAAGTCCTTGCAGATTTCAAAAGTTGTGGCTTGGCTCAAACGGTCAACTTTCCATCCTCGCTGCCAGCGAAGGGACGCTCATCACATTAATGATGTAAAGTGTATCCTGGTTTGACTCCAACTCTCTTCAATGCTGCATTTTCCAATATCATGGTTAAGTTTTATTTCTTGTTGACTTAAGATAACCAACAAATTAAAAAGGCAGTATTCTTGCTTGTGAGTGTTTTGGATTTAGAAACAGGTTGGATATTTTTGGCCAACAGGAGGCTGAATAAACAGAAGCAGAATGGTGTTCGCTGAACTTCATTTAAACCCCTTAGCTTCTTTTTGTTGTTTCAGTTCCAGTTGTAAAAATGGCAGGAATTACGTAGAAGTGCCACCAATTCTATTCAGTGATGTTGGGGCTTGGGACTGTGAATTGAGGTCTGCAATTTATTCGTCACCTTATTTGCAGTTTCCTCTCTGGGTGCTTTTGAATCACATTGGACCAGTTTCATGTTTGTTCCATTGAAACTTCACAATGATCTGGAATGTTGCTTACTCCTGAATAAGATGGAATAAGGCCTATTCTTGCACATCGACTTAAAATGAGGGCCACTGGAGCAAATTCCACCCGCAATTTGTCTCAATGATACCTCTCCTAAAGAATTCTGTTCAAAGCCAAATGAACAGTGAAGGGTTAATCAGTACACTTGAGTCTTCCTATCAAATATTTCATGCACTATTTGCCAGATGAACAAAGATTACTTTATGAATCAGGTTTAGTGTGATACTTTACAGTCCCTATTGCTATGGTTACTAAAGTAGACGAGTTTGGTTGAGGGATTAAACCGTGATCGTTTTGCTATTGTCATTAGAGGGCACAGTTCATTTTCGAGAGCAGATAAACAGATGAATCTCACCACTATTCACACTTTTCTCTTCCTTAGCTTTTTCAAATCAGACTGGTTGCTATAGTGCTGGTTCCTGGGCAGTGGCTTGGTGACAATCTCTCTTTCCCCAGCAACCAGAAAATCAGCTTGTAAAGTCTGGTCCATTGAATATTGGCGGCATGGCAATGCTGTCTTGCACTAATTCAAAGAGTTATTTAATGAAGACCAAGCATAGTCTGGCCTTGATGCCTTTTCCATGTACTTTGTGGTCCTTATAAGAGATTATATTACTCAGAAGCAATGTTAAGTCATAAAAGTCCTGAAGCTTCACAGGTGAATCTTAAGAACATAAGAAATACTAGACGAAAAAGACCAAGGTCCATCCGGTTCGCCTTCCACCTTCCTTCTGTGTTTGAAAGAATGAACACTTCCTGCTTCAAGTGTTTCCATCGGGAGCCTGTTCCACAGGTTCACTATTCGCTCACTGAAATAGTGTTTGTGTAGATTTGTTCTGAATTTACCGCCTTCAATTGCAGGCCGTGTCCTCTGGTTTTATTATTCTGCACGAGTTGAAACAGCCTGTCATGGTCTAGATTGTTTTGCCCCTTTAGAATCTTAAAGGCAGCGATCATGTTGCCTCTCAATCTTCTCTTTTCCAGTGTGAACATGTCCAATTTACTTAGTTGATCCTCAAAGTCCATTCCCTCAATCATTTTGGTTGCCCTCCTCTGTATCTTCTCCATTTCTCCAATATCCTTTTTGTACTGAGGCAACCAGAACTGTACACAGTACACTATTTCTGCTGCTATTCATCTTTTGATGCATCCCAATATCTGGTTTGTTTACTCACTGCTACAGAGCATTGTTGGAATGTTGTTCCACTATCCTTCATAGCCTCTGCACTGCCTGCCCCCACCCCCACGCCCCCGCCCGGGTGTTTCACTTTCCCCTTCAAACCATCTAAAGGGTTAAATGTCTTATGCTATACTGTGTTTCATTTGCCTGGTGTATGTGGAGAAGGGTGGGGGGAAGGAGGTTATTATAGGTAGAATTTCCTCCTGGGTTTAGATTCACTATGTTAATGTAGCATTTTTGAAGTGTCCAGAATTTGTTATTCTTGAGTATAANTTTTTTTAAATTTTGAAGAAAAATTTGTAAGTTCTTTTAAGAAAATGGGTTTCAAAGTTAAAAGTGAAGGTGTCAAATTCTGCATGCTCAAGAACATCAAATCTAGACCCAGGTGTAATTTCTATCCACTGGTGTTTGGTTACGATGACAGAGTTTGATACCTGGTGTGTTTCTGTGTTCTTATAGTCTTGTTTTAAGCTGTACCATGAGGCTGTACAATAAGGTTTGGTTGGCTACTGGTTGTGAAGTCCTATAGCTCAGTGGTTAGGGCACTCACATCGCAAACGAGAAAACCGGGTTTGATTCCCGGGAGGGCGAAATGTTGGGCAAGTTACCTTACTCCACACACCTCTGTTTACCTAGCAGTAAGTAGGAACCTGGTTGTTAGTTGATTGGCAGATCGCATTTCCAGGGATAATAATCGTAATAAATAAAATCCACAACGATTTGTGGGTCACTGCTGTGCGCAATTGGCTGCTGCATTTTGCCACAAATATACAGTCAATTCACTTTATAGTTTATTCTGTGAAGCGCTTTGAGACATTTTGAAGACGTGATAAGGCTCGATATCAAATGCAAGGATTCTTTAGTTGTTTCAATTATCTAGTGTTTCAAGTTCACTAGAATGTTGATTTATTACAAAGAATAGCAATTTATATTTCTAGAACACCTTGTTGGGAGGACATCTCACAGAGCTGCCGCGTTTCGTCCACAAATATACAGTCAATTCACTTTACAATCTATTCTGTGAAGTGCTTTGAGACATCTAGAAGACGTGAAAAAGTGCTATATCAAATGTAAGGATTATTATTCATTATTAGCTGACTGGACCCAAGCTGTGGGGGTGGAGGAGGGGAATGGTTCAAAGTGCGATTGAAAAAATGTTTTAAAATATCCATTATTTTCATTGATATAAAATATCAGCATCAAGGGTTGTAAAAACACAAATCTAAGGAGAACAGAAATTCAATACAATGTAGTTCAATAACAAATATGCCATGTCTGGAGTTTCAAGGTTCAATAAGATTATTTAATATTCAGATAATGTTGTGATATACTCAGAATATTTCAGCCCTCCGAGATGCTATCTTGCTAAGTAAATGCTAGTTACTTTAATGCACAGAGGTTTTAAAGGCATATCAAGGTTCAAGAGTACTGGAGAGCAAATGGTACCTGGATACAAATATTGACCTTCCAGTCCATTTGATTTGAATCTTCAAAGATTTTAATAGTTTGATGGACAGAACTCCGATCAGTTGGATTTCACTCTTTCCATTTACTTGCATGCTCTGTTTACACAGCACCGCAAGTGAGGAAAGACAGAGAGAATTACCATTGCATTATAAATTTGACAATCAGAAATGTTTAACAAAAAAGATTGCTAAGAAACTTCGTTTGCCTTTCATTCCAGGACCAATGTTGTTTCAGATAAATAATAATAATCCTTGCATTTGATATAATGCCTTTCACGATGGGAGGTTGTTTCAAAGCGCTTTACAGCAGTTATTCTAAAAATGTAGTGACTGTATTTTGTAGAAATAATTCTTTCCCTAAGCTCTCCAGGCAACCATGAGGAGTACTGTAGTGTATTGGTTAGACCACTTGCCTCGCAAGAGAGAATACCTGGGTTTGATTCCCAGACAAGGTGAAACATTAGGCAAGTTTCAGTTCTCCGCACACCTGTCCACCTTGCAGTAAGTAGGAAGCTAGTTGTTAGTCAATTCGTGGATCGCTTTTCCTGGGGGAATAATCCCTTTTAAAAAAATAATAATAATAATTTGAACACTCAGTCCACGACTGTTTGTGTGACACTGTTTTATGTAATTGGCTGTGTATTTTGTGGGTATTTCGCCCATAAAATATACAGCCAATTAACTTTACATTATATTCTGTAAAGCGCTTTGAGATGTCTCGAAAACATAAATCACTATATCAAACGGATGGATTATTATTATCTTCCTACTTGAAAGGCACTCTATAAATGTAAAACGTTGTATACTTTTTTTTAGCCTATCAGCCACCATCAATCTATCCTATTAACTTTATAAACTAAATCATCAGTAATTTTCATTTCTTAAATCGGAATTAAATAAAAATACAGGTACAGGAGGCCATTCAGTATATCAAGTCTGTTCCTTCAGTTTGTTAGAACATCATGTTTCTCCTATTTCACTTTAATATTTCTTACTTCTTAAGTATCCACCTAACTACACAGAACCACTCACAAAGTTTTTTTTAAAAAATGACGGAAATGCTGCAAAATAGCAGCTAGGTTGGCATTTCAGGCATCATCAGAACCTTGTATGTATGTTCTATTAATCTTGTATGTATGTTCTATTAATCTTGTATGTATGTCCTATTAATCCTTTAATCTGTTTCAGTAAGTGTTTCATTTCCCTCACCAATTGAGCAGCAAGATCACTAGACAGTAAAATGAGTTAAAAGAGTTTTGGATGACACATGCAGGGTGCAGACCTATTCCAAATAGTTTCTGAAAGGAAGTCCAAAAAGCTAAACCTCAGTGGATTAGGGCAGAGTTACTGACTGAATATATTCTCCTGTACTGATGAGAAACACTAATCTCTCTCCAAGGCATGCT